ACGGCATGCACGACTATGAAAGCCCCCCCCCCCCCCGTGTCGCCATCGTATTTGTACTTCCTCGCATCCATCAGGATGATGACGCCACCGGGCCGAGCGCACTGGCACAGGAGAACTTGAAAAAGAAGGTGAGCGAGGGATTAGATAATCAGAGAAAAATTAAAGCAGTGCCACCAGAAGCGAGGGTGGATAGCCAGCCCTACCGGGAGGCACACGTGCCTCGGTGGCATTGTCAACAATATGCTTGTCTCGGAGAAGGGTAAAGTTTGTTAAACCTTATGCTACCCCCTCCGCATCTCCTTGCGCGCGTCCTTGATTGTGCCCACCCACCCGCCGCTGTTCCTCCTGCTGTCCCACCGAACACCGAAACAGAGGGCGATGGAGATCGCGCTAGGGCCGGGGAAAACTATCTTGATGAACGGTTTCATGATGTACATGTCGGGGGCTGGCATTCACATCTTCAGCATCATGATTACTTTCATGGGGATCATGAATCCTGCTAAGGCGATCCTGGGCGTTCATAATGGTGAGTGAGATGAGAGCCGACCAGCAGTAAACAAACCGCAGCAAAATTCCGATACTACATATGAGGCAGGTTGTTGTTTCTCCTCATGTGTCCGAAACCAAGTGCTGTTCGTATTTTTTTATTTTTCTTCCAGTAGCAAGTCTTCTACGGCCGTCACAATGTTTTCAGCTTCACACAGCTAGTGTGCACTCTCATCTCCTTCTCGGAGAAATCCCTAGTGGCTTTCACGGCATTTTCGGTCTAGTTTTAGGGATGCCATCGTCCACAATTTTACGCACCATCCCTGCTATGCCCACCGCTCACGCACCCGCTCAACCCGCGATGTCATCGCCCTGCCCGCGCTTCCCGCAAACGTATGCAGTCTTCCGAACAGTGGACGATGGCAAGATTTCCCTGCTCATGCCGAAGCTCCTATTTTGTGCCCTCAACTTTGGGGGAGTGTGTGTCGCTCTTTGGAAGATGGCCAAGATGGGACTGTTACCTGTAACCGCGGCGGATTGGACGTCTTACCTGGTGCCGAAACACGCCATCGAGCAGTCGGGAGTGCCATTATGATGCTTGGAGTATCGAGAGGGGACCAGTCTTGGTTGGCATGATCCCCTAGGAGTTTGTTTTGTAACTGTCACCGACCGTTGTGGATCTGTTGGGTTTTTGGGGGCATCTCAACGCAAATTGACCTGCTTTGGCCGCCTTGTCATCGCGTATCGTACTACTGGGGATGCCCGGTATCAACAGCCCCAAGTAGCGTTGTCCTGGGCTAGATTTTGGAACGTGGTTGACTCGGATGTCGGCCGTCGCCCCACTCCCTCTGCAGGGCAGGACTGTTGGAAATGTTGATCGGGTAAATGCATTCGTAGTTTTACCTTGCGCGATTTCTTTTGTTTGCTGCAGGATGGAGGGTACAAGGAAATGAACCAGTTTTTGCCGGTGTGTTGGGCGGGGGAATAGAGAACGTCGAGCGACATGCCACAGAAAAAGCAAGAGCAGCCGGCATTTTCGTTGCGTCAATGTACAGCGGCCGGTGCAATAACTGTGCAACTATCCCTGCGTAACTTCGATTCTACAGTACGTCTTCGGCATGTCGAGTCTGACACTGCTGCTGTTACCTGCCATGGAGGTACTCAGTACTCAGGTCTCTCGTCACCGAGGTGGTGGGAGATGCAACCCTTCAATCACCTTCCACCAAAGCTCGGGTTAAGATTCCCATGCATCTAAAAGCCGACGTGCCCAGGCAGGCACTGTGCAAAGAACGCATAATCTTACTTAAGAAAGCTATGTCGCCTCTCATTGGTTGTACAAGTCAAAATGTTCACACATGGGAGAAAAGACGCATCGCCCCATCTAAAGCTCTGCCACCTCTCATCGGTCGGCTGGATTTTCCAGAAGTTTTCCGGTTGGAATTTCGTTACTCTAGTTGCGCAACCTCGGCGAAGTCTATGCTACGCAACACACTGCACGGATGTAACTTTGGTCACGGTGCACTCAACAGTTCGTGTTGACGTCGCGACGAGAAGCTTTAGGGTCTGTACAGAAGCAGGGTAAAAAAACAAGAAACGTCGTGCCCAGAGGTCTCAATACCTCTCCGGAAAAGTGGGTGCTTGGAATCGCCAAACCAAAAACGATTGGAGGTCTCGCTACATTGCGACTGTGACCTCTGCCGGCATCAACGCTATTGGAAAGTCCGGTATCCCCTGTACAAACTGCCAAGCCCGGGCTTTGGCAAACAACGCCGCATAGAGTCTCGAACCTTGGCATGTACATCGAGGAAAATCTTCGAACGGTGAACGTTAAACTCCCTCACGTGAACAACCGCTGCTTCAAAATTTTCTACTCGTCCAAGCCATCAGCAACAGCTACTCCGGCGGGGCCGACGAGTCGAAGTCTCCGTAGAACTTCCGCCCTGTCGGGCACGCCCGGTCCATCCGGCCCCAACAGACTTGCCCGTCGAAGTTCCCCCACCAACCGCTGCAAATCCTCCGCCGTTCCCACGGCTGGGAAAGTCTTAGTATTTCTACCGCTCGCCACTGGTCGCGATACAGCAATCTCACTAGCACCCGCAGAACCTAGGGATGCTGCACTAAACGCAGCTCCAGACGTGCTACTTCCTGCCGCCGTTTCGAGTCGTAGCCCTCCTATCGTCCCCGCTTCCTTCTCCGTGGATTGCCCCCCGCGAGCGGCCTGCTTGAGGGCTGCTTCCGCAGCGGCGGCTGCGCCGTACAGCGACCCAACCTCCCACCCCACGGCCGCCCCCACCGCGTAGCCCTGGTCGAAGCCCTCCTGTACGGACTCCTGCACGCCGTCATCCACACCGTCCTGGTAGCCGAGGGTAGTGAGACGGGCTTGGAGTGCCGCTAGTTCTCTGCGGAATCGAACGAACGGGGTTTGAAAGATCAGGGGATGGATCGATGATGAGGTTAGTTGGCGCTCACGCTTGAGCGCATGAAACGTGTAGTTGGCGGGGGAGACGTGCAGAGAGGGAGAGCAGAGGCAGAGAGGGAGAGGGAGAGGGAGAGGGGGGCGAGGTGTGACGAGATGTGACGATCTCTGACGCGGGTTCAGTGTGGAGCTAGTCCGACCACTGTGTGCAGGTTCGAGCCGCTTCGCTTCTTCAGTCTGTTTCCTTCCTGAACCTTCCTTTCTCTCTCAGTCGCTGGTTATCGCTCACTCCCAGGCAACACCAGGGAACACCAGGCAACACTGAGCAAGGTGGAACGCTTGCACATCGCTTGCTAGTAACCATTGTACCGCTATCTGCCTAAAGTCGGAACACTAGGAATCTGGGCAGGTGGTCGGGATATTCCTGAAAGATATACCTGCCCAGATATTATCTTAGTCCAAGGGTCCAAATACCATAACAGAGGAGAGAGAGAGACCTAAACTGAGAGAGCAGGTACAGACTTGCACAGAGAGAGGGAGGGAGGTACCGGAAAAGAGGACTGCAACACAACGGGCGTTTTGTGTGAACTATTCAAGTATGGTTCAAACTTTACCGTTATACCCTTCCAGGCGGGGGATGCAGTGGGGGGTCCTCAATAACGCCGGTTGAATAACGCCGGTGGCCCTTTACAGCGCCGGTGAACTTGTTGGGCACAGCCAGAGCCCGCAATAACGCCACACCGGCGTTATTGAGGGCGACCCGCAATAACGCCGGTTTGGGCATCTCTACACCCCACGACAGCGCCGGTTGTTTCTTTTTCACACTCACAAACCACACACCACGTGCATCTACAGACCCTGCAGCTTTACGTAGAGGCGCACCATGCCATGTGCGGAAGGTGAATTGTGCAAGTCGCCCGACACTTCGCCAGAACCCCCTCATGGGCAACGCTGTCAGGAAGTATGTGGCGGGCGGCTCCACGGCAATTGCGGACGCATCGCAGACGACAACGAAATGCGCCGCATCTGCAGTCCGTGTCTAGCCAAAGCTGGCAAGGCGAAGTGCTGTTGGCACATTTCTCGTCGACACCTGTTTTACTTTTTCCATTCAATGGTACATTGGGTGCAATTGTGTCGTCATTTAGCTGTCGCAGAGGCCTCTCTGCAACAGAACTTTTCCGGCTGCACAACGCCTGTGTGTGAGGCAGGAGGGTCAGCATGCTGCCGCCTTTCTAGATGATCATTTAGTAAACACAAAAACTCTAGTCAGTGCAGGAACATACATACCGAAGACTACGGGGTTTTTCCCCCGGGTTTGGGTTTCCCCTCCCCCCCAATACCTCAATCCCCCCCCATTCTAGGCTTAAGTGGGTTGGCGCTGTTGGCAAAGCACTGAAAAACACGCCACCCCAAATATAGGACCCATAGTATGCGCTACCAAAGACGCGTGACGCATGGATGCGTGGAGTGAGGATAGCTTACGGAAACCTCACGAGTTGAGTGATGTAGGAGATTGCCGGACACATAGACCTGTTGAGTGATTATAGCTGTATACTGAAACCCCAAGGGTTGCGTGAGGTTTGAGATTGCCAGACACATGGACGGGTTGAGTGGGGATAGCTGCATACTGAAACCCCACGGGTTGAGTGATGTTGGAGTGCCGGACACATAGACGCGTTGAATGAGGATAGACACATATTGAACCTCACAGGTTATTTGTATTGGAGATTGCCGGACACACAGACGTGTTGAGTGAGGATAGCTGCATACTGAAACCTCACAGATGCATTGGTTTTTGAGTTTGCCAGACACATGGACGCGCTGAGTGGGGATAGCTGCATACTGAAACCTCACAGATGGTTTTTGAGTTTGCCAGACACGTAGACGCGCTGAGTGGGAATAGCTACATACAGTCGGCCTCGCTTTAAGGGTACCCGGACAACCTCCTGCTATGTTGCCTAATTTCGAAAACAAACGCAAGAGCGCCAGAAAATGCACTAGAGACACATAAGACCAGTCGGAAGGCATCGCAAAAAAACAAGACCAAAATTCTCAGGGTAGTCCTCGGGAAAATTCCCGACGTCTTTTTCCCGTCGTGTAGGTCGGATACGATACTCCGCGGAATACCGTCATTTTCGGCGGTACCGTCAAAAAACGAAGTACCGTCATCCGTAAAAAAAGTACCGTCATTGATTCAATACCGCCGAAAAAGTACCGTCAAAAATCGAAGTACCGTCAACCGCCAAAAAAGTACCGTCATATTTCGGTACCGTCACAAAAGTACCGTGACATTGCGGTACCGTCAAAAAAGTACCGTCAAAAAAGTACCGGCAAAAAACGAAGTACCGTCATCCGCCAAAGTACCGTCAAAAAACGAAGTACCGTCAAAGAACGAAGTACCGTCGAGGCATTGCCAGCTGGCATATGTTTTGCCCTGTTGACCTGCTGCGGAGAGGAACTTGAGTTCGACTTCGCGTGTGTACATATTTTTTTTTGTTTTTCAGCTGTTTTTTTTTTTCTTCGACTTTTTTTTTTCTTGTTGATGGTTCTATCGGGCTGCTTTGTTACGTTTGGGTAGAACCTTTTTCTTGGTTTTGACTTGGAAGTTGATGGTCGCGCAAGAGAAGAGCGGCCTGCAGCCACACAGACCCCACCCGCGGTCCAAAGAGTGTGTGCGGTCCAGCAGAACCAGAAAGATGGCAGCTGTACAGGGGAATGCCGGTGGTACTAGCAGCAGCAGTGTCGAGGCTGCTGGTGCTGCTGCTGGCGATTCGGTGGATGGGGATGGAAGTGAATCGGTGGTTCCGAGCGTGCCAGTGTTGCAAGTCCCACCCGAGAGTGAAGCCTCGATCGACGTTGGGAAAGGCAAAACCGTGAAAGTCACACTCGAAGAGCCTATGGAGGGCAAAAGGAGGTTGACATCTTGGACGTGGAACTTTGCGAGTAGATTCAGCCCGTCCATCAACGGGAAGAACGTGGTGTGTTTGGTGAAGAAGGCTGATGGGACGCCCTGTGGCCGCCTGATGAAGTGGGAAGGAGCAGCACTCGGCAAGAAAGGGACGGGAACTTCTGGGATTTCCAAGCACCTCGAGATATGTCACAAGAGCGAGGTGGACAAACACAAGGCCAAAGTAGGCGCATCGGAGGACAACACAGCACCCATTGTGGCAGCACTCGGTGAGTTTTTTTTTTTTTGCCCAAGACTAAAGAATAAAGAATCACGAGTGACAGAATATATGCTGGGAGAATAAATATATAAATATCAAAAATAAAAAATGATTAAATGATCAGCTGAAAATGATAACGGGGAATACCACCCCCCCTTATACTACGTTGCGGTTTGCGGATAGTGTGCCGCTAGATCTGCAAGGGTGAGGGAAGCTTGTTTTTTTTACAAAATATCTGCAACATTATAAAATATAAGATATACAATGGGAACCTGAAAGAAAACAGAAAACAGAAAACAGAAAAAATAAAAATAAAACAATAGGATGGCCGTGTGTATAGATTATACAGTAAGTAGTCACCATGGCCCTGCTCGACCTTCTTGCTTTCTGCTTTTTTTCGTTGTCCTCTGGTGCGTGCACTGTGATCAAAGTGGGCAAATCGGCAGCAGGTCCATCGGCAGGCGCACCGAGCTCATCGTCGCTCATGAACTACATGGTGCCGACGATGACCAAGGCACGGAAGGATGCTGCCGACCGCCGTTTCGTCCTCTGGTGCTGCATCGACCTGAGGCCGGAGCAACTGCGGTTCGACCAAGGCTTCAAGCTCTTCTTGGGGTCTCTGTCCCCGGAGTACGTGACAACCACAATGGCGAAGAGCACGTTTAACCAGACCTTGGACGAGCTTTACGGCACGGTGCTCTCATCCGTCGTGGGCGAGTTGCGGACGCTACGAGAGGAGAACCTCGGCATGGGGTATTCGGGACCCTTCCTTGGTGCCCAGCTGGATCTTACAACAGCGGCCGGCGAGGAATACATCACCTTCACCGTAACGTTCGTGAAGAAGGGCGATACGGACATGACCCGCATCGCGCTTGCGGCACGAGCGTTTCCCGGGAGCCACACTGCCGAGGATATCCAACCCTGGATTGAGAAGGTGAGGCGCATTGATTTTGTTTCGTGGCTGCATGTACGATTGCTGTCGCGTGTTGCTCTTGTGTTTTTTTTTTGTTTGTCGTTTCTTGTTTCTTGAAACTAGTTTGTTGAAATCGTGTCTTGAGAGAAAGAAAATATAAAAAATAAAATATGAACACACGCGGATTCGAACACCAGTGGACAACTAGATAATAAATAATATATAATAGAGTATCGGATAACCTGGTGCTTCTTACATAGAAATATAGTTCCTACTTTCACGTGTTTACTGCTATTATTCGTACTTCTTAATCATGTCCCATCTGTCGTCACGTCCCGCAATTCGCAGCTCACGCTAGAGTACTTTTCGGGATTCATGGGCGAGTCTGTACAGCCCTCGGACGTCTTCCTCGCGTTTACGGTGGATCAAGGAAAGAACATCATCAACGCGTGTACGGCGTTGGGTGTTACGGTGGTCGAGTGCAACTGCCACCGCCTCAACACCGCAGTCGTGTGGGCGTTGGGCATTGCCGGGAAAGGGAGGTTGAACCCAGCGATGGGCACACTCATGAAGAAGCTGGCAGCGATGGTTGGTGTCTTCAGCCACTCCGCCGTCAACAACGACGAGCTGAAGGAACTCCAGAGGCTAGAAGAGGGCTTTTCGCGCATCTACGAGCTTCTCAGGCGGAACGACACGAGGTAATTTGCAGTAATTTACAATTTATAATTTGAAATTTGTGAGGAGTGAGGAGTTCATATCTTTTTCGATTTGCGATTTGTGGCGAAACTGCAAATTAAAAATTTAAAATTTAAAATTTAAAACAATGAAACAACTGGACAGCTTCACCGTGCTCAACCGACCCCACCTCCACTCTCCGATGTCTCACGATGTTCCCTTTTGCCTTTTACGACTTGTGTCCCCATGATAAGGTGGACCAGCCAGTTCAAGATGATGGACCGTGTCCTAGCCTTGAAGAAGCCCATCTCCGAGTATTTCAAGAAATACCCCCAGAACGAGCGCAAGCTGACACCGAACGAGTGGACCATCACCAACGAGGTGTGCAGCCTCCTGAGCGACGTTTCCGAGGTCACCATACGGATGCAAGGGTCCGTCGATACGCATGTCGGCCAGGCGATGTTCATCCTACACGAGCTGATCGAGATGCTGGGGGAGGACACCCACCCAATCCGACAGCCGAACGCCACTGTCATGCCGCTCCCACCGGAAGGCATCCCCACGGACGACACTCAGGTAATGGACCTGACCGCGGAGGCGCAGTGCGTGCTTGAGGTGCTGCAGGAAAAGATGAGAGAAAAGGGGATGGGGAGCGCTCAGGTTGCTGTGGAGCGTCTGTCCGCGTTGATGGACCCGAGGCGAAAGTCGCTTGACAGCGACCAACTCGAGAACGGTTCTGCAGATCTCAGGAAGAAGGCCGAAGACGACTTGAAAGCGGTCATCGCCAAGTTTGACGTCGGGCCGGCTACGGCGGCGCCAGCGCCAGCACCAGTAATGAACCTCGACCCGGTGGAACCCGCACCCAAGAAGAAGAAGCTCTCGAGATTGGAGGAACGGCGCGCGGCACGTGTGGCGGCAGCTACCACCGGCGGCGATGAGACCGGTTCTCTCGAGGACCAGTCTCCCTCCACGACCCGGCGCGTGCTGATCGAACGGGAGGTTTTGGTGTACCTGGCCGAAAATCCACAGCTCGATGTCGATGGTTTCAACGTTCTGGGGTATTGGAATAGGCGGGGCACTGACAGCGTGTCCGCGACGACTGGCAAGGTCACATCTCCGGCAGAAATGCCCTACCTAGCGTTCATCGCTCGGTTGTACCTCGGGATCGAGGCCACCAGCTGTCAGGCCGAACGCAATTTCTCAGCGCTTGCTCACCTGATCGGCCAACTACGCTGCAACATGCTTCCAAGCAAGGTTGAGCGCATGATGTTCATCAGGCTGAACAGGCACTTGGTTGCCGAAGTCCGCGAGCTGGACGCTGCAGTCGTGAAGGCGAAAGCTGCGAAAACTAAGGTCGCACAGAGCTCGATGGCTGCTCAGGAGGAGAGGGCGAACCAAACAGTTGACCTTTGCTTGTAGACGAAAGTGGCTATGGGTGACGGCTGACAGCAGGAGTCTAGGCTTGCATGGGGCAGAGGGAGGTAAAAGTGTAAGAGTCGACTACTTATATCTTATATCTTAGTTTTTTTTTTCTTTTGGTCTTGGCATGTTCCTGTTTTGGTTTTCGATCGCATCGGTCTGTCCGTCTGTTTTCTTCAGGTTTTCTTGTTATCTTGTTTCCTGCTCTTTTTTTCGTGTGGCATGTTTTCACCAGCTGGATTTCACATTTCACGTTTCCTGTTGTTGCGTTCGCGTGAGGCTGCTCCGTTTGACAGTTTCTCAATTTGACGATTTGATATTCAATTATATTTGATGTTTGATCTATGCCGTGGTGGCGTTGTGTCTATTCAGGAAATCACGTAGTCACAGGGGCGGTGCCGGGATACTTCATCACCGCCCGGCACGACGAAATACCGTCAACCGCCAAAAGTACCGTCAATTTGGAGTACCGGCGAACGAGTACCGTCAAAAAACGAAATACCGTCAACCGCGAAAAAAGTACCGTCATATTTCGGTACCGTCAAAAAAGTACCGTCATTTTTCAATACCGTCAAAAAAGTACCGTCAAAAAACGAAGTACCGTCAACCGTCAAAAAAGTACCGTCAAAAAACGAAATACCGTCAACCGCGAAAAAAGTACCGTCATTTTTCAATACCGTCGAAAAAGTACCGGCGAATTCGGCGGTACCGTGGACCGCCAAAAGTGGTACCGTCAAAAAACGAAGTACCGTCAACCGTAAAAAAAGTACTGTCATTTTGCATTACTGTCCCGTTTGGTACCGTCAAAAAACTGGTACCGAGGACTACCCTGGAAAATACAACGCAAGTTACTCCGGGTACCAAATCGATAGATAATGCAAGCTTATCTGCCATTCTCTCAGCGCTGAAAGCATGGCAGACATTCTGACCACACGTACAGGAAGACTCGGGGATTCTGAGCACAACGAATCGTGCGAAGGAATACTGCTGGAACCCAACCTTCCATGATCGATTGGCTATATATGCAAGTACACACTAGGCTACTTTCGGTACAGTGAGAATCGAGGGAACCAAATGTCCTCCAAGACGTGTGCTGCTGCCCATTCCCAAGGTAACCTCCGCACACGCTCTAGAAAATATTGGAAGAATCAGGTACTGCATAGTACAGCAGTATGCCTGATGCGAGCGCTGTGTACACCCGGTGCACGACGAGCGATGGGAATATCGTTAGCAATACCAAAGTCAGTCGTGTGTAATGAGTTCCTCCTGTAGGTAGGGATAGCTGGTGGCTTCGGGAACCGTCAAAAATTAACTTTATAGTCTACTTGTTCTATGGATGGTCGCAAAATATGCGCTTCCACCGGCACTATGGCGTCACACTATCATCAGTTCACATAAGCTTCTCGTCTACTTGGTCTATGCATGGGTTGCCACACGTGCCGGTTTCGACCGAACGATGGCGTCCTACCACAAAAAATAACATGCTTTTCACCTCGAAGAAATGCGTGAATTCACTACACACCAACACCCGGACGCAGAGCAGCACGTGCAACGGCTTCATACTACCGGTCCTGCTACTGCTGGTTGACGACCACCGATTTGGTTTGGAACGTGCGGACAGCAACCAAGCGTGACGGAGGTGTACTGGAGAATTCAACAGCCGTCATCGTCTCCCACACGGTAACACAATTTCGGCGCGCTCGTTCGAAGAGTTGCAGACCTTCCGCTTATCAGAGCCTGGCCATGCCCGCCTGAATGAAGATCAAGCGGCGAGAATACGCCAGGAAGATGACAGATAATTTACCAAAGGGACGGCAAAACCGGCGTCCGAAACAAACGGAGGGAAAGCAAAACTCAGATCGACACCCATCTTCACAGCAGCAGCAGCAGCAGGTCAACAACCTAAGCTTGACGAAAACATCCCCTTGTCGCCAAGCACATGCGGCCGTGCTCGACTTTATCTACCATCTACTCGGCATCAAACGAGACGCCACACACTAAAACAACAACACATACCACACAATACAATCAACCTCACAAACCAGATCTCGTTCATGATTGGGATTATGTGGACAACCCAACACAACAGCTACATGCACGACATCTATACCGACCAACTCTTAGCAAATCACCCAAAAAAGAAGAAAAAAACTCCCGTGTGACCATCCTCCTTTGGGGTCCCGGTGGACACGCCAAGCAGAGGTACCACCGAAAGGCGTGCAGCCTGGCGTTAGAACAGATGTGGGACGAACATACAACACTGCGAAACCCCAAGCACTCCTGCCACGACCGAATAATGTCTGCAGAGCCTTCTATCTCAAAAAAACAAATCCTCCCGCACCGTGTCATTCATATTCCTGTCCCCGTCGCCAGACAAGCAGGTTCCGAATCGAAACCTCCTGAGGACCGTATCTATGTCTCAAAGGCACACATCTCGTATTTTTGGGGGATGTTCAGGTGTGGGATCGAACCGACCTACCGCAGAACCGGCCCTACAAAACGTTGACAATACCGCGCTATCACGCCATCGCGAGTACTGCTGTCATAATACTGACCCGACGTTTCTGGAGGTTGGGCATGGCCTCTCGCCGAACATGTACATATCACTTGGCCACGACACGACGCAAGCACGTAAGCACGATCCATCAGATATCCTTGAGATCGTCGTCTGCCACAACCTTGATCAAATACTCCGCTGGGAGTGACTTCTCCAACGCCTCCGAGGCCGCCACGACATCTTCCTGGTTCTCCCCTTCCAGTGTGAATACCTGAGGTTCATCAAATTCGGATAGGCCGAAGAACACGTGGACAATTGCAGGAGGTCAATATGGAGCAAGCGACAAGCTGCGATACGTGGCAATCAGGCATTGCTACGTGACAACCGGATTGGGTGATGACACCGGCGCTTTAGTGGGCACTTGACCACCTACCGTGTACCAAATCAAAGCCACGACCTTGTAGGGCATGCCTGTACCTGCCATAATACTTCACTTCTCTCACAGGTTTGTGGAGTCGCCGCACGGCACTTGTCTGCCACAGCCCCCCTACACCATGCCACCTTCGCTGGAGAAAAAAAACAATACCATACACGTTTGTCTTATGTTACAGTAGTCTGCTGTGTGGGCAACCGAGTCGTCCAAGACAGAGTATCGATGCATTCTAATCGCATTAAGCAAAAGCCTTTCATTCCGACAACAAAGCCAGGAAGGGGTTGCACATTCCGGCTTTTCAAATATCACACTTATCGACCTTTCCACATCGACCCCGTGTTCTCTACGGCAAAAAAATGTCCTGAAAAAAGAAAAAATCGTGTCCTTCCAGAGATGGGAACCTGACTAAAGAAACACGAACCAGTTCAAAAGCCCCCCTCGAGTTTCCTCTGGCGCCCGGGCATCTTTATCCCCCCTTCTTTAGATCTTGAGTTTCCTGTCTTTCTCCGCAGAGGCTATTTTATTTCCTAGCCTTGTCCGAGTCGTGTCGTGGGGATCACGGCCATGTATGTCTTGGGCAAAGGAATTTTAGTGGTGGTGATGAGGTCCAACCAAAATCACAACGTCCCGTAAGCATGCTGCACTCGTCCCACGAGGAGAGGACACAGAGCTTTCAGCGGGTTGCACGTGCGAGCATGAGAAGAATAAACCAGTGAAGATGGCTCTTCCAGCAGTCGAGCTTACCGTCTTGAAGGCAGGGTTGGAGTAGTACGGGTAGCTGCCGAAGGTAACATTCGGGTGTGCCTCTACAGCCTGGTTGAGATGCTCCACAACCAAAATCTCGTCCGCGGAGAGAACAATCTTTCGGACGTGCTGCGGGGAACGAATGCAGTACAAGACAGAAAGAGAGAGAGAGAGAGAGTTAGAGCCACAACGGAGGCACATTCGCGGAATGCAATTGGGGGTCGTCAGTCAAGCGGCAGGACATGGGAGGCACTCTGTGGAAACTACAAAGACCATTCGGGTACATGTCCAAACGGTCCCAATATCTGTACATTTCCACGCATGAGTGGCACACGGGTGGCAAACGACGTACAGACGACACATCGTTTGTTACGTCTGCACGCACCGTGTGCCTCCGTTGTATGGTTCGACTATAGCCTCGCCGCGTGAGAGGTCACCGCTTAAGGATAATCGCAGTAGCGCCAAATCGGGAGCAAATTCGGTAGGCCAGTAACCAATGAACGCTGTTATGTCTTGGTGCACAAGTCAAGGATAAACCTGAACCATGCAATTGTATCAATATCCTCACGGAACACAATGCCATGTTTTACTCCTCACGGAGGGGCGCGAGTCCCGAAGCGGTGGGCCATGACTGACGTGCATGCACCACATAAGGCCAACCGCACCGCTAACCGCCTTCCATGCAGCGTGATCGGCACGGCTCAAAGAATATCCCCCTTCCCGCCTCAGTGCTTGGTGATGTGAGAGCCTGGTTCGGTGAGAACCCGGCGTGGTCCGTCCCGACTTTGTAAGGATGCGAAGTCAATGGTCTAACGACTACGACATGCACGACTATGAGTACACCCCCCCCTGCCCCACTCAGTGTTTGCGATTGGGGTTGGGTTTTCGTCGCTTGGGAACGACATTGAAAACAAGCCGATCGCTTCGGGAGCTCAACCACCAGGCTGCCGGTTTCTCCTTTTCCTTTTGTTTTTTATTTCGGCAACAATAATCGTGGTCGAGTAGATTATGTGGTGCGGGGTCGAGATCCCTCACTCCGCGCAGAGGGCACGATCCCACCACGTTGTGTGTAAATGACAAAACACCCTTGAGGCAGCTGTTCTCACAACTGTCTCTGGAAGTGAAATCACCAGAAAATGAATGAAAGCATTCGCAGCTGTCATCCGTCGCAAGGAAGTAAGCACAAGATGGCATATACCCGTAACAGCACGCAGCGCACCCTCCATGCGACTCGCCGAATACCTCACGGCGCTTCGCGCTTGGTGATGTGAGAGCCTGGTCCGGTGATAACCCGGCGTGCTCCGTCCCGGCTTCGTAGGAATGCGAGGTCAATGGTCAAACGACTACCGCATGCACGACTATGAGTACACCCCCCACCGCCGCTCACCATGGTCTAACGACTACGGCATGTACGACTATGAGTAGATCCTGCCCCTCCGCCACTCACCATTGCCAAACGACCGCGGCATGCACGACTACGAGTAGACCCCCCCCCTCCGCCGCTCACCATGGTCAAACGACTGCGGCATGCACAACTCCCCCTCCGCCGCTCACCATCGGGCGCGAATCCAAGAAGTAATCGGCGATAACCGTCATCTTGCCCTGGAAGAACTCCGGCACCCCAGGGAGAATGAAGACGTTCTCAGTCTGCAGGATGGGCCACGCGGCATCCCCCGCTACCGGCGCAACCCTCAGTTTCGACAGCTCCGGCAGCATCGCCATCTAGTGTACGGATTGCGAGGCACGTTTGGGTGGGTGGATGAAATGGGTGCATGAGCCAGCTTTTCAAACCTCAGCCAGCGTCTTCACCGCCTTCAGGGTCGCATGTATGTATCATAGCAACTTCGGGGAAAGATTGGTGATAAAAACAAGCATGGCAACGGCAAGGCCACAGAGACCGCTCTCGTTCTCGGTCTCCAACAAAATGTGTCAAGATGACATACCATTTCCTCGTGACTAGGTTTTCAATGTCATCGAGGCGTTTCGTGTCGCTTAGCACGGGCGCCACAAAAGCAGTTGGCACGGCACAGGCAGAGCGATTTTTGCCCAAAAGCACTGCGACAAAACCAGGCATTAGACACGTACGGCAGTAACGCGAAGGAGGGGCGTGGTGGACACAACAGCGGTCACCCCGTTACCCCCACGATGATAACCGGGTCCATGAACTTAAGGACCAAGTCGACCAAGTGCAATCAGTTTCAGGCGCCTGGCCTTTCGCCGCAGTACATATCATGCTGCGGAAGCCCGCCTTGGAACTTCATGAACTCTGTTCGGCTACATGCGGAGAGCACGGCGACCCCCGTACGACAGAAAAATTAGGACTGACTACAGAAGCATGCATTCTACCTCGATCTAGCTGCGGAAGCACGAGACAAAAAACACGGAAACGAGTCCGTTGCAAGCTGTACGAATGCCTCTCGCCCACCTTCATCTGGGCTTCCGTGAGCTGGCTGGCACTCTCCACCCCAACAAGGTCCAAGAGCTTTTCCACCATTTCCTTTGCCGAAGAAGAGCGCACGCATGCATACGAAACGCACACCCAAGAAAGTATGGATGATGGGAAAATAGAGAACGACCGGCATGCATACAGCTGTAAAGACGGATACCACGACAGACAGCAGCGTTGGGTAGGCCCTCTAAGACACCAGCAACAACGACAAGTCGGGAAAATTTACACAAATCTCAGTTTAGAACCCACTACTCTGCTTAAAATCTCTGTTGCTGGTTCAGCCATCTCGATCTAGCAGCATCCTTGTGATTTCGTGTGGGTTGATGCGTCGAGGTAGCCCCGCCGCCGCGGCCAAGCTGCGACTGCCTTGGGCAATAGCATGTGCCTGCAGCACGGCAGGACCTCTGTCCGCAAAGCAAACCTAGTCAACTGCTAAACACCCCGACAACCGTCGCTTGCACCTCTTCGCACGTTCATCAAACACGACCGACTGACCAAGGCATGCCGGACATTTTCAAAATGTACAATACCCTGAGAAGGCGAATACATGGGCCCGTGCCATGCCATGGGTTGAAAGATACAAACGGGAAGTGCGTGGTTTTGGCGAGGTCGGAGGCGGACCACTGCATGCCACCACTCCAAACCATTTGTCTCGTCTCAATCGGTTGAAAGCCTCCGGAATCCCTGTGGGGGATTTCCCGATGCAGCTGGCCCTTACCCCTAGAGACCTCTGTGGGGATCTACGCGTCTACACCGATACCGCATGGAACAACCGTCTTTCCAACAACGCGTTTGGATAGGCGTTCTCAAAGTGCTGTATGCCGTTGTATGGTAATCTAGCGACGCATGACAGCCGAGGCTTCTCCGGCTCAGCAGCACCAGAACGCATACCTTGTTCTCGCGGACGGCCTGATTGAGAGCCCTCGCCACCGAGTAGATTGTGATGTCGTCGTGTGTTGGCCCGACGCCGCCGCTGGTGATCACAACGTCAAACTCCTGAACCTGTCGCCGTACCTAATAGAAAGGAGGGTCCAGCCAACCAGCATGCAGCGGTAACAAAGAACGTTCCGTGTTTGTTTCCGTGTTGGTGTTGGCGTGGTCGATGATCATCGAGATCGTAGTGTTGTAACCGCCTTGCTAACGGCGGCGATGCGGTCGAGGTCGACAGGGGTTGGTCCCGGCCGCAGTGGCAGGAAAGCAGGCCCAGCTAAGCTCACCTCGTCACAGATGGCCTCTTCGTCGTCCTTGATAACCGCTACGCGACCCACAGGAATACCCTGCCAGCAGCATCAACAGACCGACCGACCGACAGACAGACAGACAGTCAGACAAGTCAGAGAGCACAGGACTCAGCCCCGGCGTAGCCTTGGGCGCTGCGTGTTCACAGACGTTTGCCTTGCGTCCTGGAAAACTACCGGCTACAACGAGACAAAGGGAGACGAAGAAATGAGGTACAATTAAGAAAGGGAACAGCTCAAAACCTTCGGCGCGAGCCGCTGTGCAGAACAAGCATTGCCACGCCCCGGGCAGACAACGGAGAGGGACAAACGCAAAGGGGGGGCAGCGCGTGTTGCAACCATCTAGTCTTGTCTCGCGCGTTCTTGCTCTCTGCGTAGAGCGACACAATCAAGTCACTCTGGTTTCGTTCGACCTCGAGGATCAATTCAGGCCTCCGAGGGCGGACATACGGGCCCATGACCGCAGGAGGGGGTCCAGCCCCTCCCTCCTATGTGACCCCGGTTGGGTCGTCTAGCTAGTAGAAGTGGAGGTTAGGGACCAGAGGGGCAGACGACAGAGTCCAATCATGGGAGAAAAAAAAACAAAAACGGGCCCATGCATCATCACGAGCCGCTTCACGGTGACGGTATTCATGGCCCCATATGCGCAGCTTTGCCTCATGAAAAGTTACCCTTCATCGTAGCCGTCACTTATGTGAACCACGTACCCAAGCTGCAAGAAGGCCAATCCAATCGGTTCACAACACCGAACTTCGATTTTGTACAGGAGTGGAGGGCAAACGCCGGCTTTGCAGCGGCTGCACTCAGGCCTACCCACGTCACGCCGCGTTTACGGCGTGCCGCTTTTTTCTTCGCGAGGGCCAAATAGAGTCAAGGTTCGAGCGGTAAAACATTAGCTGCAGCACATGAACAACGCCGGAAAAGCCTCATCGAGCACCACAGGCGCACCTTCTCCCAAAGCTTCTTGGTGGCGAATGCGGTATTCAAGTCCTGGCACTTCCCCTTTAGCACCTCATCGCCGATAACGACAAGACCTGCCGATCGAGCTTGCCGCACTTTTCTTCTCTTGGTGTCAAGGTCTCTGCAGTGCACCAGCACAGCGCACACAAATCGGAAAAGGGCAACGCTTTGAGGACCACACACTGCCGGAGGAACATCACTACAAACAAAAGGCCGGCTGATCGATCCATCCAAAAACTCGACACGCTAACGTTCCCCCTTTGTTGCTCTCCAAGCGTATGCATCTGAACGGCTCACGCACAACTCGGGCACCACGCACCCGCGAGAACTCCCCAGCGACCTTCTGTTGGGGCGCACTTACCTCAACCACCACCCCGATTCGGCGTGCATGGTACAAGCGTTCGTTTAACATCAAAACGAGCAGGAGGGATTTCGAAAGCCGTCCTCCCCCATTTTTAGCCCACGCGCTCCTGAGTGGCATAACGCTCGCCCGCGACCCCGACACCTACTATCCAAGGTCCGCATCATCGCTACTTTATTACGGCCGTGACAGGAACTTTCCCGACCAATGGCATCACCTCCTGCCAACGTCACGCTTCGTCAGGGTGATATCGTTGCTACAATCGTAGACTTCGTCCCTACCATGATGCTTTATCGGTGATATCAATCGTAGACCGCCATCTTTCACTGTGTATTTCAACTGCAGACTTGAGGGTTAGGTTCAGGGTCACCGACACAAGTAGAACATTCACCTCAACTCGCACGCGAGACTGTCTGTCTTCCGTTCGCCTCTCCCAGCTCTTTCCAGCGACCAATCCGAGAGCATGTACGCAGGCAGATACTCCTCCTCTATCCCCTCCCCCGCGGGCTCTACCCCCTCCGCGCCCCCATTATCGGAAACCGCAGCCGAACTCGCGCGTTTTCTCAAGTAGGGGTTGGGGAACGTGTTGTCCAGGTTGCCTGCGGAGGCCGGCAACGATGGAAAAGGTGGCACGGGCGACTCCGGCTGTTCAGAACGAGAGTTACGGGTTCAGAACTTTTCCGCAGAAAGCACAAAAAAATGTCAAGTATAAAATACGCATAGCGCCGATTGGTGGATGTTGGACTCATCAGTGCTTGTGGGAAATGCCCACTTTTGTCGTGCACACACGGAAACTTCAGTCTCTGTCGAGCAATCACCGAAGCATTCCACAGCAGTGCCGTCAACACTCCAGAGAACCTCGACCATAACCCGGCACCGATGCAGTTGTCTCTCGTCAACAACTTGCACAGGCTTGCCAGTAGTAAACAGAACGTCCTTGATTGTTGGGTGCCATGGTCTCGATCTACTTACTCGCGGAACGCCAACACGGCAGCCTGTATAAAGAACATCAATCCAGCAGCAGCAACAGCAGCAACAACAGAAATAGCAACAGCAACAGCAACAGCGATAGCACCCTCACGGATGTCACAGATATGATGATATGGTGACGGCCGCTAGCAAGACGGGAACTTCAAGACGAAAAAAACGCTCGGTGGTGTAAGTATACACACACCACGACAAAATATCACCAGTACAGATCGCGTCCCAAAGATTGATTTTGATCAATACCCCCCGAATTTCGTCTCGTGACCGTGTGCCGTTGACCCTCACCCAGAGACGTGTATCCCTCGTCGTACAGCGAGCAGTACGGTAACTCGAAATCCCTCAGGAAGGCCCAGACCTGTCTGTAGTTCCAGTCGATCACCGGGTTCACTCGCATGAACGGAGGCATCCAGTCGCTGAAAGGGGGATGCGGCGGGACGAGAAACCAAAGGGAAGCAAGCACTTCAGAAGGCAAATCAAATGGGGTCGACTTGCGACACACGCCAATAGCAAGCGCGTTCAGTTGGCCTCAGCTGCCTGGCATGTACCGTGGTGTACGTAGTCTCGCGCGTGAAAGTGTTGGATGGAATGGCGACGAAGCGGGAACAAGTCCGAGGGTATGGTGGACCATAACGTGGCCATGAACGAGACGGTCCCGCACTATTTAATGAAGGAGGAGGGATTCAGTCGGCGGAAAGGAAGCGGCGGAGAACAAGCCGGGAACCACCATGGAAGCCAGACAAGCCGGAGGAACACAACGCTAACACTAACAATGGGAGCAAAATACTACTACAAAAAAAGAAACAGGTCGAATGGCACGAAACTTGTCAATCCTGACTTAAAACAACCACACAAAGCCACCCTAAACCAGTGTTACGAATGTTCGTCTCGCACTCTGGGCATTCTAGGGATAACATCAATTTCGAGTGAGCATGCAAGGCCTTGAAACTGCATCGGGAGTAAAGAGTCGATGAGAAGAAGCGCTATAATAGCATCTCATCTCGCTGCTGTAGCCTTGCAAGTGCTCACAGGCAGTACATCTACTGCTGTCCGACAAACAGCAGTTCGCGGGATACCTCTCCAACATGCGTACGAGAGAGATACGGGTGTGGTGGTGTGTGCGGTGCTTCCGAAAACGGAGCGCAAGGCAGGAAGCTATCGATCCCCAGACCTAGAGCATCAACACAACAGCAATAGTCGCGGCAGCAGCACCAGCCTAAATGCCAAAACCACCAGCGCTCACCTGCTGGGCGTGAAACTCGTCTGCACCCCGCAGTTAGGGTCCCCCTTGCGGGTGCCCAGGACGAAGCCGTAGCTCTTCTCGCTTCCCCCCTCTGCCATGCGTTGCTTCAGACCCTCCACAAATCCCGTCTTATACCTGGACAGCTCCAGGTCAAACCGCTTCACGCTGTCTGCTACTAGCGCCTCCACCTCTGACTCGCGATATTACGAAACGCGTCGAAGTACATTTCAGCGCAAAACTTTCAGGGTGGCAAGCGGAAAACCTCATGCCATCCTCTGGCAGCGAGCGAGCGAGCGAGGAGCGTGTGGGCCTCAGCAGTCGTTGGGTGGGTGCTCAAAGAAATCTGGGGGACCCCGACGGGGCTGTTCGCTTCCAGAATCCAGAATGCTTCAGAATAGTTTGACCTCTACGGCTGCTGCACGAGCGTTATTTAGCATAGCATGCCTGCGCTGGTGATTCCGCCGAGGTGCTTCCTTGTCTCTGGCTGTCCTGAGGGTTAGGATGCTGGAATGGTTTTCTTTGTTTTTACCGCTAATCCCAGCAACTGACTCGGCGGCTATGGTACGTACGAGAGCTCGCACGTGACAGTTCGAATTCAGAGACACTGTCGCTTTCGGGGCTTTTGTCCAGCCTTCTAGCCTTGCACACATCATCAGTAATACCGGCACCGCCGGACATAGACCAGCTTGGTGTCGTTTACGGTGGATGGTGGATGATTCAACCGGTTCCCGGCAGCGAACGACCTTCACGTATCAAAAATAGGGTAACCAAGGGCGAAAAAAAATGGAGCCGAGCAGCTGTTCACGTCAAATTAACCTATGCGGCCGCCCTCACCCGGGAACTCGCGGTCATTCTCGAAGTAGACCAGCTTCGTCCTGAAGGCTTCCCCCTGCTGCACGCAGTAGTTGGCAACGGCAGCCCTGCGCTTCAGTAGCGACGCAACCGGACAAGCATGTGCGCGAGCGCGATTGGTTGCCGTCACCACCTCCTGCACACGAAAACGCTCCCCCACCCCAGGAATATGAACCGTCACAAGAACCGGGTTCACAACATACCATCTCAAGGTCTACTAAGTAAATGCTAACGTCCCTGGGCTGAGGTGCTCTCAGATCTGAGCAGCTACTGCTGTCCGGGGAAAACTGCTTCGGGGATGCCGACAAAACTCAAGGCGTCCAGTCCAATAACCTCTTGTTGGTATTTTCGCCGAACACAGGAATGCGTATTCAGTCACAGTAGCATCCGCAGCGTTATTCTATTAGTAAACATGTTGGATAAAGCATGCAATGGGGCACTTAAGTTGGGAATAGGGATAAGGATAGGGTGTGCGTACTCTCGCCCTGTTCTACTTCCTCACAAAATAACTTCATTTATCGCGAAGGCCGCCTCCCGGTCAAGATATTGACCGCAGATCCATAACAACAACGACAGCACACCTGTGCAGGTGCATGATGACAACGGCATCCTTTCCACCGTTGTAGCTGCCAATCAGCTGGTCCGGTCCGTACAGCCGCAGGCCATCGTTCAGCACCTGACACGAACGGCCGACCCCGAAGACGTGAAAAAGTTCGCAGAAAACAGCAGCAGCAGCGCTCTACGGTGTGCGTACCTCCACGGCGTGTGGGGGAATGATATATCTCAGGATCGGTCGATACTACAGCTGTTTTCGGACGACTTCAGCGCTTTGAGCGGCAAAACGCAAAAGGTCGATTTGACAACCATGGGCTTCCTTCCCCAGACAACAGGATCGTGGACACATGCGTGCTTCTTCAACTCGTTATCGGCTGCGCTGCCGTAGTACCGTAGGCTGCACAAGATAACACACCCTCTGTAATATCTCAAAAGATCGGGTGTTAGTACGACGCCGTCTTTGATTTTGCTGGAGACTGCATGCTGCAATGATCGAGCTTTGGAAATCGGTCCGGGAGGTGTGGAATCTAATGCAACCTACGGCAACAGGCTGTCAAATGAACCGGCGTCCGCCTTCAATTCACGTCTTGTGCACGATCACACAACAATGAAAAACAAACATGGTGGACGCCCCTTTAGTCTAGTCGTCGGGCTCAATCTCGATGGAACGGGTGCGACAGCTGGTGTGTGTTGGTGTTTGGGGGCCGAAGATAACTTGAACCGCAACGACGCTCAAAGGCACGGCACATGGTCTCTACGTGCTTCAGCAACATGGCAAGTAAGATGCATGATTTTCGGGCGGGGGGAGGCAACTCTTGGCGATTGGTGGAAGCACATAAAAAGTTGGTAGAGCAGAGCAGCTTGTTGAACAACGTCGTGGTTCCGCCCAGCTGTTCGTCTGACACAAAAAATCAGTGCCGCACACGAATGCATTCATGTGTATCTACACACGTGCTGGCATGCATACAGCAGCAGTCTGCAGATAGACATTGCCAAATTGCCTCTGTACAGTCGACCCCGCTATAAGGACGCTTGCGTTGAGGAAACTTGCGTTGCTGAGCACCGGGGGCCCGGCAGAATATACGAAAACGGGGGTATCCCGATATTTTTCTGCCGTGTACCCCCCTTTTGTGTGTCCTGCGGGCCGCTCTTTGCACGAACCACGCACCACTGTGAGTGAAGAAGTAGCGACGCATAGACAGCAGAAGTAGCGAGAGTTCTGCTGCTGCAGCTGCAACTGGGTGCTGATATGGATAGATTCCTCCCATCTACCAGCGGTCCATCTGATGACGCCAAAAAAAGAGTCGTGCATAACCTCGTCCCTCACCGAGGGCGAGGTTACCTCTCGCTTGGAGGACATTCGATCCTACAGATAGCGCCCGCAGTTAAGAAACATCAAAATCGGTTCGAGCCTCACCAATCCCTTCTTTTGGGTCGAAGTACCGGCCCAAGTCGTCCATTTCGTAAATGTCACTTCTTCTTCCTGTTGACTGTTGCATCCTCCCGATTCTCTTGCTCCTTAGACTACAACAAGTACTTCGTATTTTCTTTTTTCTGTCTTTCGATCCCTGAGGACAATCCACATCATCAAGCCCTCAAGAGAGGTGGTGAGAGTGCCATCAAACCCGCACAACAGCGGAGAGCGTATGGGTGTCCGCGATGTGTGGCAGTACTACAGTACAGCACTCATTGTGAACAGCAGGGGCGCGGGGGGGCGGGGGGGGGGGGGGGCTCTGCCCCTTACAAAAAAATGCGCTTCTTTTCAGCTTGAGAGGGGGTTAGGAGCACCGCAGATTTCTGCAGATTTCTGATGTCATGGGGGTATCGCACCATCACGTTTCTTATTGGGGCGTTTCTTACGTTGTGGCCGAGATTGAGCTATGTTTCTTAGCCCCTTGTGCTTATTTTTCGCACCAAGTTGAGCCATTTTTCATACAGAATTTTTCTCAACTGCGGGCGCTATCTATAGTTGTACGCGAAGGGAAGGAGTGCGCGAGTACCGTGAGATGTAGTACCTTCTTTCGAAGACGTTCATTCGTTTACTCATGAAACTCAACAGAGCCGTAGAGCCAAGCCGCGGGGGGAGGTTCAGGGAACTCTTCGCGATATGTGGAAGGAAAAGCCATCAGGGTAGCTTTTGGTCTCCGCCGGGACAGTGATACCTACAGGTGTTCCTCGGTACGACGTTAAAATACGCTCGTTTTTTTTTGTTCCGCAAGAATGAGATGAAACCTCGCTGCTGGTGGGCTAGATAGGCCCTCTATGGGAGTACTCAATGTCACTGCGGGTGCTGTGAGTACTGTCGGCAGACCGGTTGTTCGTATAGCGCCTGGAAGGATCACGTGTGTCGTAGGGCATGCTGGAACAGCAGTGTTGTTGGCAAAGATTAGTTTTTGATGCGACGGAAGCGACACAAGGCACTGATGTCAAAGACCAGTAGTAGTCCATGCTTGCTTTTTGCATTCCCCAGGTTGCTCCAAGACAGCAAGTAAAACCCACCGCCGCACCTCTGTTTTATTATTTTGTTTTGGGGAGGAAAGTAGGTGTTAAGAGTGTTTGTGGTAGACGTTGGGGTGTATTAATTATTATTTGGTTTTGGGGAGGGTAATGTATGTCTACTCGGACTTTCCTCCTTCCCGCTGCCGGCAATGCAGTACATTCGTTGGCCAAGTACACACTGGTGTACTGCTGTGGTTGTTTCCAAGACGTCCCCGACTACTGGACATCTGATTCTAAGTACTGTGAATATGTTCGACGTCAAAAAACGGCTGCCAGTCATCTCGGCGATGCTGACTTATCTTACCACCCCCTTGCTTACCAAAAGGCGCGTAGTTTGAGGTATAGCATGCCTCCATTGACCCCGGAGATGGTGAGCTATCGACCCCTGAAATTCATGGACGCAACCCCGTTTAAAAGGACGCTTTTTTTCAGGAAAAACCACGTGCGTCCTTAAAGCGGGGTCGACTGTACCTGCATCGCCTCCTGTAGTGCCCCCTTGAGCTCGGGATCTTCACAGGCCATGATGTTGTGGTACAGATCCAAGCCGTCCTGGATGGCAGCCTCGCTCACGCCGTCTGGGTTGCGCAGCTTCAATTGCTGCTGCTGCGCATCGTTTACTGCCGCTGCTGCCCTTGTCACTGTCATGAACGCGGCAGGGGCGGCGGTTGACGATGCTGCTGGGGGTGCAAGAGAGAAGGTGGACGGGCAACGCGAGGTATGTATCAAAGTGGGACGAAGCATCATAGGGTAAATCCCGTGGCGCACACGTGTGACTAGACTGAGGTCATCAGCAGCGCGAGCGGAGCACACACGGGTTGCATCTTTGAGCAGTTGGACACAATCATGCTCATGTGCGGTTGCAGCCAATCTCATTTTTATATTGTCAAGCGCCCTCAAAGCATACACGCCCACCCACCGTTCGCTTCTCCGTCAGCAACCACTGCCATCATCTGCACAGGAGATGTGGCTCCGCTGTTAGCCTGAGCCGCGGCCCTTGTCCTCCTGGAGAGCCGTGGTAGAAATGGCGTTGACACGAAAGCTGTGTCTTGTCCGATGCGCGAGAGCGGGTATGGTGTCGCAGAACACGCGTCGCAGGGGGCTAGCTGGGGCAAAACTAACAGCCGGGCTGCCACCAAAGCTAAATACCAGGACGTCGTATTGCACATTTAGAGCTATTGGCACGCAGCAGGTGCAAATGTTGTTCATTGCCTGGCTACCGCAGGGTGACACTCAACCGACCCTCGTGTCAAGCAGCTTGGAGGCTCCGCAAAATGTATGTGATATCGAAACAGAGGCCTCGAACAGCGGGAGCCGGTAAACGGTCTCGTTTAAAAAACGCGACCCAGGGATAAAAAACCCTCATTTTCCGGAATATGACAGGAGGCATGTTTCATGTTAGGCATGTTAGGCACGCAGCGCGCTGTCCCGACAGACACGCCGAGTTCTGCGCCGACGTAGAGCAACCGTCGCCACAAGCAGCAGTATCATAAGTACATCGCTCCGGGGAGTGACGACCGAACTTTCAGCATTCAAGGACCGGTATCCGCCTCGAATCAAATCGCTTCAGTGTGTGTGCTGCAGCAGCGGTACCACCTCCCACGGCACGGCGTACCAGCGTACCAGCACGGCAGGAGACGGCGCGCAATGGCAGGAACGAGAGGTGGGGTGGGGCGCACATTGCACTCGGATTCACCTCACATTGCCTCAGGCGCTTCGCTGTCAATCTGGGTGCTTGTGATACCGAAATGTGTTGCTGTTAGCAACTCAAACCGCGGGTGTGTCAGAGCTTTGAGGTTAGGGTGTGGCAGCGCGGGCAGCGCTATGACGGGCTACCCTACAGCAGCAGTGTTCCCCGTGTTCCCCAGACCCACCCGCCCTGCTACCTACAGCAGTCCTGCACCATGGGCTTGATCCGAATTTAAGGTCCTGTGCTTGTGTGTTTTCCAGTCGTGTTAGCGTTCAATTCGAACCATCTCGCGTGGGATCGGTGGTGGCGTGGATGGAGAACACCAGTATGCCGTTGTTGTACATGGGGGGTTGTACATGTGTATCCGGCTGAGGCCGGTAGAATAGAATCATAGACTATCATCTGCCTTTCATGAACTTGTGAAGATCTGACCTGTGCTCATATAGTATGTATGCTTTACGGTCGTGTGTTGCTTCCGGTTTTGGTGTGGACAATACCAGCATTTGTGCAGGGGTTATGACCGACACATTGGCCAGTAGAAATCTGTCGCGCCTGGGGTCTGCGGCCTTGGGGGTGGTGAATAATACCTCTCAGCGGGCACGACGAGAAAATGCCGGCGCGAAAGGAAGAATCCCAAGTCAGAGGGAGTACCTGAGGGCTATCGCCGCGGAGTGCACGTGGCCGAAGGTGTTCGGCACTCCGGAGGGAGTGGTGCCGACGGTGGCCCGGCCAGGGAAGGGGCAAGAGGTACGCTGTCTGTCCCCTGTCCCCTGTCTGTCTATGGGGGGTCTATGGGTGCCGGGTTATGGATACCTGCAGGGTCAGGAGAGGAGGGTGTTAAGGTCGATTATGTACTGCCACGCGTGGGAGTTAACCAAAGGCGTGCCGCGTAATATTAAACCTGGTTCTGACTGTGCGCAGCAGAGGGCTAATCCGTGGTGTACTTGGTTTGCACGCACGCTTCTTTGTGAGCAGATGTATGACCCGAAGGCGACCATGATACTCACACCAGAGTTGCGGAAGACGTTTGTGGCGTTGTGGGTCGAGGGCGACGGCAATTGCTTTTGGCGTTCTATGGCCAAGGCGCTGTGGGGTACAGATGAGTACTGGCGCCAGCTGAAGCTCGCAGTACTTGCGTGGAGTGCTGTAAACGTCGAGGCTCTGGTCGGGGAGGGAGGGGCCCTTTTTGGGAGGGCCGGTATCATTCATTACGATGATGAGATTCATGCAAAGCACATCTACCGCGGCCCTGATGGGAAAGTTGATCACAGGCTTGATGACGACGCATCTATGCTCCTTGAGAGTATTGCGAAGTTTTCCGCAAACAGACAATGGGGTGGGTGTCTTGCCGGCGTTTTGTTTACGGAAAGAACCGGATTAGTGTTGAAGATGCCGCATCCTTTTGACATGCGGGCAAGGATTAGGGCTGACACCAGCGGTGCGGCCGCTAAGGCAACGGCAAGCTATGGTGGTGGTAGCGAAGACGAGTTCGGCGACCACCGTTATTCATTCACAAAAGTACCGACAGCAGGCCGTAAGGAGATCATCTTGCGTGGAGTTAGCGATGAGGAAGACATTGTGGTCGAAGAGATAGCCATCACAATGGCGTCCTACGACAGCGCGGTGGTCGGAGACGGAAGCCTCTCTGACATTCCCGTCATCGAGGCTGACACAAATCTCAACCATTTGAATCACTTCGCGGCGATAGTGTGCGCAGACCCGGACGTTCACGTCAGACGTCCGTTCCCGATGAGCAAAGCTGGACCGCCGCTTCACGCGAAGTTTGTGAGTGACGTTCTGAGAGTCGACGGGTCGAGACCTCTAGCCGTATTTCGTCGTGTAGTTTTTCCATTAATATCCTTGAGGTTGCCTAGCGTAAAACATGTTGTATCCACAACCGGTGACATGACGTTTTGGGTATTCGTGTCCTTTTCGTTGGGGGTGTGCGCTGCCATTGCAGGACAAGTCAGATGCGGAGCGGCGTGCGAAGGAGGAAGCTGAGTGGGCAGAGCGGCAAGCACGGAGGGCGGCACAGAGGGCAGTAGAGAGGGCGGAGGCGGAGGCGGAGGCAGAGGCGGCGGCGAAGGCGGGGGCGAAGGCGAAGGAGAAGGCGGAGGCAGAGGCGGCGGCGGCAAAGCGGAAACGTGACGGGGGAGGAGGGAGCGGCAAGCAGCTTGGCACGGACGGGGGGAATAAGGAGAAAGAGCAGGACAACGGTGACGAGGACGGAGTAGACGAAGCAACCAAGAAGCAGGAAGAGGCTGCTGCGAAGCAGCTGCCGGTGAGTTGACGCGGCCCCAACATTGTAGGGGGTTGTCAGTATTGTTGGCGAAGGAGGTGTCGAGGACAGCGTCAACATGTTGACCACGTGTGCGTGTATTTATGGAATGCTTTGCTCGCATCTGAAGTTGGCCCTTGTTCAATGTCTGTCCTGAAAACGTGGGCGCTCGCAGGTCTACGAGGAAAGCGTCCTGGCTGCGGAGCTCGACGCGAAGAAGAAAGCTACGAGGTACCACGAGCTGAAGGAGGTGAGTGCATGCTGGGATGCACAGCCCGGTCTTGTGGTGTGGGGCTGATATTCCACGAGGTACGAAGGAGCTGCTCAATGCAATACATTTCCCGCCGGCTGAACCATGCCCCCTTTCCCTCTTTCCGTCTGCGGCGAGTAGGCTTTATCACAGGCCCGACAAAGATCAGATGCAAACAAGGAAAACAAACAACTAGTCTGGTTTTGTCTAGCGGCGGAAGAAGAGCTGGGGAAGGGACGGGTTTCTGCAGCAAAGGCTCGACGGGCGTACGAGAAGGCGTTGCGCAACAGAAACAGAGCACTACGAGCGCTAGGCAAGGTTAGAAAATGTTAGTCGGCAGGTACCGCAGACAGGACATACATGCGAGATCCGTACCGGTTAGGGGCGTGACTGTGATGTGCTTGTCGGGCATGTGGGCAAAAGGTAACTACTGAAAGCCTCGCCACATGGGTCGGGCGTCGCAAACGCTGACTATGTTTTGTCCGTGTGCACAACAGATAACCCTGAGGACCGGTGTCTCTAGTGTTTTACCTTCCGGCGTTGGTGAGGATGACGTGATGGAGTCTGATAGCCGCAGCGAGGACAGCGAAGACACCATGGCCAGAGGCTGGAACAGCGACGACGAATTTTTTTCGGCCGCAGGTAACTGCCGGTCTCATACTGTCTTATACGTCAGAGTTGACAGGCGACGGAATTGTTCTGTGGGGAGGGGGGGGAGGGGTAGGCGTTCCCATTACTACAGCAAGTGGACAACAGGTGTAACATCCGGGTAACATCCAAATGTTTCCCAAATGTTTCGTGCTTTGCTGTTTACCGCGCCCCCATCACCGAAATAAATCACCAGAAGCCCGCAAGACACGGACAGCTGCGAAGGAAGAGGAAGACAGGAGATTGCGAGCGATGGTAAGCTCAGGGTGACGGTAGTTTGAAATCTTGACTGATTTTGGCGTGCGTGGTGTTGAGCTGCAGGATTGCCTGCGACGACATTCCAACGTTTGTATTTTCGTCTTGCCCTTGTTTGCCTTTTAACCTTTGTGAGGACAGATCGAGCGTAAAGTTCTGGCCTGCTCGGAATTAGCCGCGGCGACGACAGGAGCTAAGGCAGCTGCAAAGCGGGCGAAGAATGCGTACAAGAGGCTGGTTGATGTGAGCACCGTAGTGGTGTTGTGGTCATCGTGGTCTCTGTCGAGCCCCGGGGTATGGTCCA